ACCTGTGAACACACATTATTATATATTTTGTTACATAAAATTCCAAAATAATTCAGTTGGAAAATAAAACCCTACATGCTTTACTTCCGAATGTAGTCTATATGTTATGGATTCCCCTTTCTTTTTAAATAACTATAAAATGTTTCAACAAAATTTAATGCTACGAAGGCAGGTATATTTGTACGTAACCATTTCCATCTAAAATTACTGCCATGTGGCTTCTTAAATACAATATTTAAGTTTACATTAAATGTAACTTTATCACCCTCTTGTTTTTAGCATTCCATATGTACATCTAAAAATTTCCCTTCCTTAAAACTTCAACAGAATATCCATTGGGAAATGAAGAAGAAGAAGAAGAAGAAGATCCTACTGAACATAATTTGAATATCAAAGAAATCAGCACAGTACATGAGATTAATTGGTATAATATCAACCTTCTGTATTATATAAAGGAGACATTTAAGACTCATCAAAATATTCAATTTTTGTGAACAACAGAAAATTTTAAAGCAGTAGTTCCAGTTTTCCATCTGAGAAATAACATCCTTACTGTTGGCTATTTACAGAAACATACAGACACATTAATGCAGAGATCGTGCATGTACATAAATTGCTGGGTTTTTTTTCCTGTTTTTACTTGGGGAAGTATCTATCTTTCTTTTTTGTTTTGTTTTTGGTTAGAAGATTATATAAACCTTTTCTTCTCTTCTGATATGAGATGACTATTTTTTTCTTTTCTTTTTTATTATATCAAGACTAAATGATTTTTGTAATTTGCATATATGACTACATTACTTTTTTTTTCTCGCTCTCTCTTTTGGGTACAAGACTAAACTAAATTTTCTTTTTATATCATTCTTTTGTTAAGAGCTACATAAAGTTCCAAGTTCATAAAAGTACGGCAGTCTGCATTAGTGACTAAAATGGGAGAAATGTCATTTTCTCAGCTCATCTACATTTTGAACTTTACTCTATCACATGCGAGTAACCACCACCCAAGAGCATGGCTACGTGAAGGGTTGCTTGTCATTCTTGTCCTGCACCTTGCTCAACCGGCATTTTTCTTTCCTCAAATGCTGACATTAATTGTGATAGTAATGTGATGTGAAAATGTGGAGTATAAAGACCACACTTCAAGGGTAATACATTTAGGTGTTTGAAAAAAAAAAATTTTCTTTTAACATGAGTGTGTACTTTCTTCAAATTCTATTACTGGAACTGTATGAAAATACAGTAATGAAGAGTACTGTGCTATTTCCAATAATGCTTTGGAGTTTATAACAAGTACGTCATTTAGACGGATTCATAATAGATATAATTCATAATATTAAGAATTGATGTAATGACTTTCCATTCAATTACATATTTGTAAACAGACAGGGATTTTAATCTCTCTCTCTCTCTCTCTCTCTCTCTCTCTCTCTCTCTCTCTCTCTCTCTCTCTCTCTCTCTCTCTCTCTCTCTCTCTCTCCCCCCCTCTCTCTCTCTCTCTCTCTCTCTCTCTCTCTCTCTCTCTCTCTCTCTCTCTCTCTCTCTTCAATCCCCCCCCCCCCCAACTAATTCTCTCACTCTCTAGTTCTCTTGTTCTCTACTTCTCTCACTCATTCTCTCTCCCTAGCCAAATTCCCTTCATCACACAGTCTAAAGTAAACCCTTCTGTAAACACGAAGATCAAACATTCTGGTTAATGCCGGTCATCATACGTGAGATCTTGTCATTGTTGCGCAGGATGTTGGATTTGATAGCAGAAAGCTTGTCCCTCTGATCCTGGACTGCTGTTTCTAGTTCTGCCAGTTGACTTTTCAGGGGTTCAAGTGCTTGATCAGTTAAACTGGAAAATAAAAGATAAAAAGATAAAGTCTGTCCTGCTGAGGTAATCTTTGGAGAGGAAGTTTGTTATTGATGCAGGGATAGCAAAGAAAGAAATACTTAGGGGGAGGACACAGCGTATGGAACATATTGTTCCAAGCATGAAGGGAGATATGACTTTTTGTCAGGAACATCAAATAAGATGAAACTTCTTGTCAAGAGAGAAAAAAAAATTGAAAGTAAAGAATATGCATAGGCTTGTGTGGGTTTTATTATGTGTTATTTCATGTAAACAAGTCTCTATATGTATGGGTGCTCTTCTATGTATGTAAGTGATCATATGATATGTTTTTATTCAAATAAACAAGAACATGTGCTAATTCAAAGAAATACATCTTTGCAAATCTGTTTGTACATCTGCATGAGGATATGCAATAATGTTTGTAGAAGATGAAGGATATTTGTAAGATACTTGATGCTAAATGAGGAATCCTCATTTCGAAATGCAGCCATAGACAGGGAGAAATATTTACCCCTAAAAATAACTTCAATGTAAGAAATCTTCAAACAATGATAGCCTAAAAAATGTATGTATTATAAGTTATAAAAATACCACCTGTATATGAATAACATATGACTGAGAAATACATAAGTTTAGATATCTAATTACATAATTACATATGGAAACCAGTATAAAGAAATCATGGAACTAATAAAAAAAACAAAAAAACTCTACATACACAATTTATATTCACATTACAATAGACAGAAGATAAGTTTAGATATCTAATTACATAAATACATATGGAAACCAGTATAAAGAAATAATGGAACTAATTAAAAAAAAACTCTACATACACAATTTATATTCACATTACAATAGACAGAAGTTTCATACAGATACAAATCATGCTCTGCAATGTCTACCACAGTTTAAAAAATGGTGCTTCTACATGTCAAGTATGGTAATCAATCAGAGAAAATTATATCTTCATGGTCAAATTGCTCTCCCTGGTATTACACCAAAATGAAGTCTGAAATGCAAGAAGAAGAAATGAAATTTAATGTCCCTTTCTTTGAGACCGGGAACTCTTATGTGATGTAATGTAGTAGACCTTCCTTTATCACTCTTTCCTCTAATGCAAATTTACTTTAGACCCCAACATCTTTTTATGCCCTGTTGCCATTCTGAACAATCATGATTTTACTCTACCATAACTGATAGTCAGTTTGACCAACTGCACTACTTGTCACTATTCAGCTGGGTTTGATAGTTCAAAGATAAGGAATGGACATATAAACATAAGAGTATCTAAAGGTAAATAGATAACTGGTAGAAAGACTGAGAAAAAGTGAGAGGACAAAGAAAGACAAGACCAAGAAGAGACAAGGAAGTGGAGAAAAGAGAAGTAAGTGGCAGGGAAGAAGTGACAGTGAGTAGTGGTACTGCTTGCTTATTATTGCAAACATTTTTAACCCATGTGATCCAGATGACATGACCATCACATCATGGAAAAATTTGGCTTGAGAGGCTGGTGACGTGAACATGAGGAAAAGAGTCTATTAAAATCTGGATAAAACAAATCAAATGCCAAATATAGACATTGGAAAATGGTAAAAAAGTTAAAAATGGGTTTGCAGAAAAAGAGAAAAACGATACTGCAATGGGGAGGCATAGAGTCTTGTCACCACATACAAGTGTCAGGCTGCTCGAGTAAATCTAGTGCCTGTATTCTGGGTCACGTGATGGCAGTGAGGCATCCGGATCCAATGGGTTAATTGGCAGTAAGTCGGCTGTGAGAATTGCTGTGATGCCCAAGCAGTTTCTTTGTACTTCATTACACTTTATCAAATATTGGGTACTGTATCATGATTATATCTTTTAACATAAAAAGGACAGCCATTGTCCATGTGGAGGTAAAAAAATGCAAACCTTTCTTTGAGATAAATGAAGTGTGAATGAAATGCCTCAAAACCTTTACAATATTTACAATATTTATAATATAGTTATTGATTTATCTCATATGAACTAATCTTTTATGACAGTCATCAAGGACTTATCAATAGTGATAGAGGAAGATGATACTAAATCTCCAGATCACAATAATAAAATGGAGTAATCAAAACCATCATTACAGTTTCCTGTGCAGGTTCACCAAGACACATCTGAAGCAAAAGGAAATTAACAGGTGGAATTCACTCACTACCATCTTACCCATAATCTGATACTTGTCACTGGAGGTTCTGTGCTCTATTACAGGAGGTTCAGACAGTTTAAAGGGGTCAACTAATTAACATTTGACATCACATTGTAAACCCAACAACTATATTTTAATCACAGGAGTTTATTTAAAAGGGGAAAAGGGTCTGCAGTGCTGGAGTGTAAAAACTTATAGTTACTTTTCCTTGTGTCTTGGCCAGTAGGGATCCCTGAAGAGGCTGAGGTAATCGTTGTAGAGGCTGGGGTTAAGGAGACTATCATTAACCTAATGTGAATGCTCCTAATAAGGTATAAATTTCCTTTATGTTGGTGGTGAAGATATCAGAAGTTTTCTTTTTTTTCTTCTCTTTAAAAACAGTTTTCTAGATAAATAACAATAAAACCTTCAATAAAATTCATAAACTACAATGCTCCATCTCTCCTTGTTTTACAAAGACTTAGATCTATTGCTTTATATGTTAAGATCCTATATGAAACGTCTTTCTATTGTGATCTGATCTACAGGTGACCACTCTGATTTAGGGGGAGGGGGGTTTAGAGAGCTCATCGGAAAAATCATATTGAATGGAAGGGTTAAAGTCCAGCTTCCACATCACCTAATAAAAATATAATGAAACCAAACTATATCACCATAAAATTGTAACACAATCTACATTTCATACTGTTCAGTGTAACAATCATCTCTGCAATCTTCCTATATAATCACATATAATACTTACTTAACATTTCCAAGACAAAGAGTTCATTAAATTTATTGATGAATAACCATCTAAAACACAAGCAAACCAAATTCACAAGGATTCAAACAGAATATTGCTAAGTGACATATTCCTACACACTGCTTCCCATGCTATGAGACAGAGGCAATATCAAATGCTGGATGATATCTTTTCAATGGTAAGCCTGTGAGAGTGTGAGATTACCTGTACATTATAACCTCTGCTGGCTAGAGTACTCTGCATCTTCT